AAAAAAAAAAAAAAAAGTAAAATCTGATTTCTTCTCCTGCTCATACCTGACTTGCCAACCACCGAAGAGAAACTTACTCTGCTGTAACTTGTTCACCTACAGTTTGGTGAAAAAACAGAGAGGGAGGGAGAAATAGCTGTTCACAAAGAAATGACAAATTAAACCCAAATTTGTTTTGCCTTATGCACAGTTCCTTATCCTAGACAGGAGCAAAATATTTACTTCATTGTTATTTTGACAGCTGTCATCACAGTGGGACAGAATCCTTAAAGACGGCTTTGCTAATGTTTCTAGACAGCTCAAGTCTTTATCTTTTTTGGAGCTTTAATTATTGTAAAAAGAAAAACACTCGTGACTCCCCCATAGCTTTCTACAGCACAGATAGTGACAAAAGCATTGTTTGTTTTTCAGCATGATGACATCATAACCCAAGTTTCCTAATGTTTATAATTTCTAAAATTTGTAATAAGAAAAAAAAGAGCTATAATGTCTGCCTCCAAAAATCCCTTAACAGAATAGAGGCAAACAAAGTCTGGCTTTCATTTTTTTGAAAGCATTTGGCTACCATCAGTCTATATGTTATAGATTCAATTTAACGAAGACCTTGCAAATGCGTCTTTCTTCTTCAGGTCTGTATTTGTCCTCTTGACCACAACACAAACGAAAAACAGTACAGTGTATTCATATTTAAAACACAGTACTTAGTGGGAAACACAACTTGGTTCAAAGCTGTTACAGGAGAAAAAGTTAGACTTTGCTCATGGAATCAACAMAGCTTGGTTGATTCCCAAGTGGTCAGAAATCACCTGTATAAAAATCTAAGTCCCAGGTATGACTATATCCTGTTCGTCAAAGATCTGTCCATAACAGCCCTCATTCCCTGAATTTACCCACTAAAGGCAGCCTTTCACAATGTACTATTATTTTCATTTTGTTTCAAGATGGATAGAGGCTGCAGGAAAAGCTGAACCCTTTGCTCATGGTGGCTTGAGGTTTCTTCTCCCATTTTTTAAGTCAAGATATGCTCCAAAGCCCCCARAGCTGGTCTGATGGAGTATGCAAGTTAACTTACACAGCCTTAGTACTGCCTGTTTAAATTTAAGCATCCAAATAAAGCTTTTAACTAGGAAAATATGCATTCAGTACCTCGTAGGCCCTATGCTAGGGAAGGAATGTGGAATGATAACTGAACAGGTGCAAAAACAGCCAGAGAGAAGGTGACCACCACGTTTCTGACGGAATCACATCATCAAATCCATACCGGTGTACGATCATCGGGTTATTTCGTGTGGGCCGCTGCTTTACACCGAAGTGGGAAAAAAACCGTTTAGCAGCATACACGGCACGCTTTTTCAGATGGATTCACAGAGCCTACTGGCGAGCCTCCTTTCCCAATGCCGGGCGCCGCTTTCCTCTCGTACAGGCTTCCTCCGCCGGACACGACCGTGCCTTGGCGCTAACCCGGGACGCCGCGGAGAGCTGAGCCCCGGCGCCCACCCGAGGCAGCGCGGAGCTCGGTGCCCCAGCTGCGGCAGCGCCGCCGAGGCCGCCCAGCCCCGCGCCGGGCGCGGCCCCTCASGCAGCCGACTGCAGGCAGCGGGGCCCGGCCGCGTCCCCGCTCGCTCTCGGCCCGGCGGCGAGGGGTCGCGGCTGTAGCGGCGGCACGGTCCCCGCCCGCCGCCAAGATGGCCGAGGGCCAGCACCACAATGCAGCCACCTTGCCGGGCGGGCCGAGTGGCTGCGGCGCGTTAACCAGCCGCTGAGGTGGGGGACTCTCCCCGGCACAGTCGCGCTGGGCCACGGGAAAGCGGCCGGCAGCAGCAGGACGCGGCGATCCCGGGGCCAGGGAGCAGAACCCTCCGGTCGTGCGGACCGAGCCCGCGGACCTCAGCCGAGCCCGTGGACCCTCATCGCCCACCCCGCGCAGAGGGCAAGATGGAGCCTCCCCGACGCACCCGCGGGGCGCAGCGGCCCGCCAAGCCTCGAGCAGGGGCTGCCGCTCTCCTGACCGCGCCGCATCCGCGGTCCCGCCTATACCTGCACAGGTGCGGATGGCTTCGTGTCGGGAAGACTCTGGCGTCAGCTCAGCGCGGGGTCGGGATGCTGCGGGGCGGGCTCTGCGGGTGGACGCTGCGGCTGCCGGTGCCGAGCTGCGCACGGCCGATACTCCGCGCTCTCCTCACTATCTCCCTCTAGCTCCCACCGGTATTTAAGCAGTCGCCACCTCCGGCGGCCACGCCACATGGGCTGACGGTTTACTCCTCGCTGCAGTCCAATGAGAGCCGGGGCAGGGCCGCCCCGAGTCGGACCCAGGGTGATGCCAACCCCTGCCCGCCGGAGTCGCTCCACGGGAGGAGGGGGCCTTGGCCACGCCGGGGCGGACACAGGCGGGCCCCCGGCACCGGGCCAAGCTCTCCCGCCCCGCCCCGCCCCGTACTGGAGGCCGTGGAAGGCCGGGCGCTGCTGGTGTGCCTGGCTTTGGATTGGCCTGGCCGGGGACGAGGCAGCGCCGACACCCCGGGGGCGCGGACCTCTTCGTGTCCCTCTCTCAGCTCCCCGCGGGTAGGTACACTGTGAGCGGTTACGGCCGCTCCGTGCCGGCACCGTGGCTCGGCGATGGACACGGAGGCTCGGCAGGCGTCGGTCCAAGCGCGGTCGGATCGCGCAGCGCCCGCGAGCATCCGCGGCGCACAAAGGGAAGGGACGCGGGGCAGGACGCGCAGTCCCGGGACAGCACCCAATMCGGAGGCGGGGACACGTGGGCGGGGGCGCGGCCCTGCCAATCGCGGGGCCCGCGCGGTGTTGCTAAGCGATAAGGCGATGTGGTGACGGCTGAGGGGTGGCCGGGGCCGCCGGCAGAGCGAGCGGYGCCCGTCGCTCTCCGGCTGCGGCGGTCGTTCACCCCGGCGGAGCGCGGTCCCGGGGTTACCACAGGGCAGGAGGCACGCCGGCCAGGGATGCGCTGCCCCGTGCCCAGGCCTGTCGCGCCGCCCTGACTGGCGGCAGCAGAGCGCGTCCGGAGGCGGGGGGCGGGTGCCAGGGATTCCCTCCCCGCCGTGCCCCTGGTACGCCCCCTTCCCACCGACGGTACGGGGCGGATCTCTCCGAGCGTGGGCACCTTTCATCCACTTCCCCTGTAACGTACACTCCTTCACTTAAAGCCGAACAGTAAAATCTTCTGTATTGCCCGCGAATGGCACCCCAACGCAAAAAAGCCTTTCGGTCGGAATATGTGGGCTTGAACAAGGGGACGCAAGAGAGTCCCCCACCTTGTCCCTCGTCCATGGCTAGAACTGGCTCTGGGCAGAGGCCCCGCTCCTGCTAGCGCTTGCACTGCCGCCTCCATTTCGGCAGCTCCATTTCGACCTTCTCGAGGCAGACCTTTTGTCTTTATCTGTATATTCCTCAACATAACAGGTTTCTAACCTTTTGATAAGAAAAACAATAAATAATATCCTTTTTTAACGTTTCAGTACTCTTTGATCTGCCTGAATTCTTTATAGGCGCTCTTTTCTTTGTACAATTCAATAGTATCCACAGTAGTACCTTGTTATTAAGCCACTCTTCTTATTTGGTTCTTAAGAATCAATCAATGCCCAGTTTGTTAAATATTTTGATCGTAAGAAAAATATATGAGAATTTTCCTGCTGTATGTAGTACACCCTTAGCACAACCTCCCCACACAGAATCCAAGCAATATGTTCATATTATTTATTATTCTACATACTGTGTTAATTTTCAGCATAGTTACGTGCTACTTATAGCCCCTCTCAAACAAATGTACAATGACTGAAATATTTTTTTTTCTATCACAAGTACAATGAAACAACCCAGCTATCTTCTTTCCTTAGCTACAGTTGACTTAAGGAAACCTGTTTCTCAGGGAAATGGAATAAATTAAAACTGCCTTTCTGGCAAGAGTTCTACATGAACAGGCATGCCAGGTGACATGGGAGGGGGAGTAAGTGGGACACCACACCAAGCAACCACAAAAACAGAAAAAAAACCCCAGAAAACCCTCAGAGAAGCAAACAAAAAAACTCCATAAAAACCTGCATAGAAACCTATGCAAAAGCATTTCTGAATTCTGCAGCCCATCAGTTTACCTCCATGTTGTAAGGAATAAAGAGTGATGTCTTCCAGGCTCAGATGCAGTATTGCAAAGATCGTGGAACAAACTGCTCTTTTACACTGCTTTTAATGCATGCACAGATTCTTATGCCACTGAAATATTATGCATCTCTGTAGTTCATTATGAAATGTGTAAATTAAAAAAAAAAACCAAAAAACAAACCAAAATCAGGAAAATCTACAGCGGTTATAAAATTCAGAATTTACACACTGATTTCTAGAAATAACCAGTGAGTGCTTTAACTGGTGTGATCTGGGCCAAAATTCCTGCACTTGTTAGAAACCACTATGCTTTGTGCTACAGAAAGAGCTCATTCAGGGCCTGATTCAAGGGAGTGCATCATGTTGTCCTGGCTCATGAACAATGTTGAATCAAATGACAGGATTTTCAAGTAATCAAAAGATTTAGAAAGAAGCTCACAAGGTCTCTCAGGCTTTATATTGGCTTTGCAACATCTCATGAAATTTATTGCAGATTTAGCATCTGACTATAATATCACGGTACTGTTGCACTAAAGCAAAACATTTTCAGCAGGTAGTACAAAATAATTATTCAAATTCGCAAATGGATTACTATCTCATTGTCTGGTGCTGAAGAGAGCACCTCCTTGAAAAGAGTAGGAGGAAAGCACTTCTAAAAAAAAAAAAAAAACCACTCCAGAAAAAAAGGGCACTCATGGGTAAGTAGCTCTCTTCTTTCATTTATCCTGTTTAGATTTTATATGTTTAGCAGCAACTGAGAAGTATTATTCACTTCAGTGATATCACTTGCAGAATCACAGAATCTCTTAGGTTGAAAAGTACCTCTTGAGGTCACCTAGTCCAAGACCTCAGCTCAAGAGTCAGCTGGAACAGGCTAGCCAGGCCCACGTCCATTTGGCGTTTGAGTATCCCCATAACCCATCTGGGCAATCTGTTCCAGTGCTTGAACATCCCCACAGTAAAGAGTTTTTCTTGAATTTTTTGCATGTGTTTTCTTTACTTATAGTAAAGTTCATCTCTGTAATATCCCAAGACAGCTCAGCATTACTGGAAATGCTATAGAAATGCACTGATTGCTTGTTTCAGTCTCCTGACATGTTAATTACTACATAGATATCCTTTGTTACATCACAATTCATTCAAGTTTTCTTTTCGTTTCATCTCTTTTAAGACTTATTTCTTACAATGTGTCCATATGATTCTGAGTATATTCTACTAACACACTAGCAGTGTTTCTCACTGCTTTAAAGTCCATACAATCTCTTGTCAAGGGAAAACAAAATTACTGGTGTGACACCAGAAATTCAATTTTGTGCTCTTTTATGCTACCTGAACAAGTAGAAAGAGCTACAGAAGATGAGAAATAATACAGACTCAGATGTAATCTTTTTAAACCCCTTTCTTTCAAATAGAGAGATATCTGCATAGGATTAACGGTTGCATTGTTAATTAGAAGAAAACAGGTAGGTTGAGGCATCCCACTTCTAAGCTTAAATCACATCTACAGTTTCTCAACAAAGTACCTGCTCAAGTCCTGCAAGCCCTGCCTGAAGGCACAAGGCTTTACCTATGTGTTAACTGGGCATTTCTAAATCCATGATGCAAGAAAATCTTAACATATATATAATTAAAATAAATCAGTATTAACAGTGAAGACTGTAATCCTACAATGTACACAGATTAACCCTTTATTTTAGGGTTCACTGTATGAAACAGGGTATTTGTTCTCTCTCCTGCCTGCAAATATCTCAACTCCACATACAAAACTGAGGCTGATAATTAGATCTGATTTAGAGATGTCTAAATAAGTTAATAGCAAGTGTGAACCTGCAACATGCTGCCAACATAGAAATCAGTCTTTAATATTATAGTTGCGGATTTTTGCCACGCTAGAAGAGATTTTTGGTTTTAATAGATGAGCACAAGAAAATCTCCTGGATTTTAACTTCTGCTGAACTTCCAGCCTTGTTCCTCTGACTGTCAAATCGCCAGCTGACATTTCAAGTTCATCCTTGGCTTTGACATTTTGATGAGATTCTTCAGATTGCTCAGTTGAACGTACAGCTTCAAACGCCACTGCTCAAAAAACAGACAGATATATAGTTTGTAGTTACGTTTGTATCCAAGTATCAGATTGGATAGTTGAAGACAACTGCTTTACTCTAAATATGCTGCTGCCACAGTGCCACATTGTCAAAATCCTGTATTACCAGAACCATTTTTGTACATAGGAGGCCCAGAATAGTCCATTAAGGCTTTCCATACCCATGGTATAACATGAGTATCTTCTGCTCAATCCTTGCTTCATCTGTACATGTTCATTCTCCATTAACATCAGACTGCTTAAGAGAAGAAGACAGCTGGAAGCTCGATGTAACAGTTCAAGTCAAGCGCTACGTATTCGTTCAGCTGTTTTAAAACAACACATTTTACAAGTTTACCCTTCTCTCCATTGTGAGAAAATGTGTTTGGACATGCATTATATAAAAGGCTCAGCGATATCTCTGTTGGCTTGACAAAGCTGCATTATTACCATTATCTTTTGGGGCTTTTTTTCAAAACTTCTCTTGCTTAGGAAAGCATTTACTATGTAAATCTTTGGTTGTGCTGTCTAAAATATCTGTCTGTCCCAAAAAGGTCTAACTCAAAAAGAGACMTCTTCGTTTGGGAAACAGTGTGACAGGTCCTAACACTAGTCAGAGTCCATCCTGTCGATCTCATATTATTCTCCAAAAAGTATTATTTCCAGCTAACTGAAGTTTAGTTTTATGACAGGTTTCATTAGGTAAGATAAGTGCAACTGGTCAATCACATCATTCACTGTAAGCTATAGGTAATATTTGCAGGTGTTTGGCTCCAGCCGCTTAGTCCTTATTTTTCAAGGCATTGAGACGTTAACTCCAGATTTTCTAAGGAGAGCCAAAGCAGACATCAGATGTAGTGATAATATACTTGCACGTTAACACAGTACTACAGTATTCTCTACTAATTTAATTTTATAAGCATCATAGGCTGTGGTCTCAGATACTACTCAATCACAGCGAGCGTAAAATGTGCATAAATGGACAAAGATTGGTTATTAGTGTGAGAAGGTAAATTTTCAAAGTCAACTGAACATGACATAAAGTCCAAATAAAATTCTACATCAAAGAACATACAGCATGTTCCTGAAATATTGAATGAATTGACTAATTGAAGGTTTATAGCTCTATGCATGACACCGTGGCTAGTGTCAAAACATGACACTTTTCAGCATAATTTTTATGCACAGGCTTAACTTGAACCAGCTAATCACTCATGTGGGTGTGATCTCTGCACTAAGTCCACTTGGTGGCATTGGTTATCACAGGTGACAAAAGCTCAGGGGATTCTTGAGCTGTGTGTTCGAAATCCTATTGTCCAGCTTGCCACCTAGTGGCTTCCTTCAGGTGTAGAGGGTATGGAAGAGGATGCTTGAGCCCATGAAGATGGCTGGGTGTCTTTTCCTGCCTGGAAAATGGACTTTAATCATTAGAGTAAGTAAGTAATCATCTACCACATCTGGCAGATAATAAAGCAGAATTTCACAACATCAACCATTTAGAAAAGTGCAGGCAGCAGTGTCTGAAAGGTATTGCTTCAAAGATTATTTTCATGAACGGCAACAGCCACTACTTCGTTTTTGTGGTCGAAAGAACACGAATGAGCAGATCCACAGAAAGCACACAGCTAACACTGCTTACAGACAGTCTGTTTTTTTAAATACTCAGTTTTCAGGGGTCTTTTGTAATCACCCAGGGGGTTGACTTTCAGAAATTAATGTGGGAGGCCCTAATCCTGTAAATTCAAAGGCTAAGTAGCCAAAATAACATCACATGCATCCCTTCCTCTGAAGACTTCTGTATGCTTATCTCCGTAGAGAAACTACAGTTGTAACTAGTATCGGCTACTTAGTCGGCCTTAGTTTAGAACAACAGCACAGAACACAAGCATTCCACAGGGCTATTTTTAAGTTTTGGACAGTCAAATATGTGTACTAACACAGAAATTTAGAACCAACCACTGCAAACTTCTATGAATAATTCCAAAAATTAGGAAAATATCAATAATCAATAGCCCAGAATTAGCAATAGTGTTTAAAGTGAAATATCCTGAATAAAGAATACTGAAAGAAGACCTTACTGTATTGTGGTTCTGCTTGGAACTGTTCACATCTGTGAAGAACCTTGAATAAGATTGGCATGAATAGGCACTGTGCAGTAAAATTTAAATGCAGTAGCTTGGTTTACACACCAATGGAAAAACACACCTAATTTACAAGACTCCAACTTACTTTCAGAAGTGACCTTGGCAACCAGAGCTAGCAGGATCATAGCTAAGCACCTAAACTGTTTTTGAACATGGAAGTAAGTGTTTGGTGTATTGAAATSCTTAACGTATCTTTTATTTGATGTATGTTAACTTAAGTCAGAAATTAACATTCATAGATTTTTTTTCCTCAGGATGAAAGAGATATATGCAGACGTCATACAAGCAAATAGAAATCTCCCCAGATGCAAGTTTCATGTAAGAAATTTGTCACTAGATATTTGCTTATGGCTAACACTGCTTCTGAAGGAACACCAATTCAAACAAGTTCCTTTTCAGGAGAAGAACACAGAAATTAAGAAAATGTAACTAGGGGATTAGTTAATATTTGTGAAACACTTCAAAGATGAAGTTTTATGTAACACAGAAAAGAGATCATGAGTCTTTCTCTGATTGGAGCCGGAATAAAGCCAGAGCCAGAGCACTCTTTCTGTTTGTTAATATTTTACCAGATTCTTTCTCTGGCCAGCTTTTTACCCACATGGATTGCTCTTAGAACTGTCAGTGATGTCAAAGCTGTTGAAATTCTGTCTAGTGTGGAAACACTTAAGATAACTTTTGATCCATAAAGTGTGGAATTTCAGACGACAGAGCTTTGCATGTAACAATGAGAATTACAGTACAAAAAAAAACCCCTATCTAAGCTCAAGTAGTAAATAAAAAAATTACTTTCCCTCAAAGCTGCTCATTCCTGTTCTTTGTTAGGCTACAATGCAAATCCAAATTATTAAACCCAAGACACGGCTCTGAGTACCTCTGGAGGTGGAGTTTCTCAAAAATCTATAGTGGGATGTGGAAAAAAAAAAAAAAAAAAAGTTAAATCTACACTAAATATGCAGAAGTCACATGGCTGGTGGGGACACTGCTTGCCTTACACCCTTATTCCCCCTGCACTGACCCCAGTCACTACTCACTCCAGCACAGCTGGTGGGAGCGAATACAGAACTTTTCACACAATAGCACATACAGCCTTCACAGTACTGGCTTCATGCTAAAAGCAGTATTACAGCTGGACATTAACAGGTGATGTATGCTCTCCCCACCACCCCTGAAAAGCTAGTGTCTTCAATACCAAGTAGTAACTTAATTAGGCTAAATAGAAGGAAATAAATTTCCATTTTCTAAATGATTTACAGAGCTTCCCCTTCTTCTTAAAATCAGAAAAGGCCCTATAGCCCAAAAATGAATGAAGGAAGCTTGGAGCACATACAGAAGCTAATCACCTGGCTGTACATGTGTGCCATGATTTTCRGAGGAAAGCATAAAACTCTTCTGATGGACAACTTCCCTTTGTGGGTGGCTTGTCATCAGCATTCAGGTGCATATGATGTGTATCACCAGCCAAAATCTCTCACCTGCTGTCAACCTCTGGGGCAGAGCATTTAAAAAAGAAAGAAATACAGAAGTGTATTTCTTATGAGTATAGCCTATAGATCCTACCTAGCCCTTTAATATCATCAAGGCTTGTACCTGTCTATCTCTAGGAGGTTCTTTACCTTTCAGTAATACAGAACAATAGAAATACCTGAAGGGACATATAGTCCTTCTAAACATCTTCTCTCTACTTATGTGTACAATTAACACGTAAGCTATAAATCCATCTAATTTCCACAGTGCAAACTGAAAATTAGCAGATAGAGTAAGGAGAGAGAAAATTAGAATATCTCATAGTCTTTTGATTTGCTTGAAGCTTACACAAGTTCTGAATTTGATGGTGAAATGAATAAAGTATATAACAGTTCACTTCAGTAATTAAGATGTAGTCATTAACACTTCAAAACACATTGAGTCATTGTATTGTGTAATATGTTGGAAATACAGCAAATTGCAGTGCTTACTTGACATGCCAACCATTTTGAGTGCCAGTAGGCTGTTTTGTACATGGAAAAAATGAATTAAACTGTTCAACAGGTTGAGGAAAATAATTTTCATGCTACAATTCTCTGTTTCACCAGAAATTACTACAAAACACACTACTGGTGTTATAAATTTGGATGGAGTTGAACATGGGGGAAAAGAAATTTTAACAAGCAAACTAACTTGTTTGCCTTGTTGCAAATCATTTTTTGTCACTGAGCTTCCAAGTGTCTGCGTGTGTGTCACTTGTACCTGAAAGCCCAGTTCCCAATCGTGCTGTCTCAAAGACCGTTCTATCCATAGTAACAATGTATTCGATGAATGGATCAAATTCAAGTGATCTGCTTTAAATGGAAAAGATTGAATTAATCATAGCTCAGGAATGAAAAATAATGCAAGCCTCTACTAAAAATCACAAGCAGAACTTAAAAATTCTGTAAAATGCTTCTGAGGTGATGATGTTCCAAAAAGGAAAGGCTTTGCTTTCATAACCTTTTTTTTTTCTGAAAAGCAGAATTCAGTCCAGTAGAATCCAGGAGATCACTTCCTGGAGGAGAAAGCTAAGCAGCAAAAAAGAGGGTTTAAAATAATATTCTTGCAATACAGTATTCCATCACCTGCATGTTTGAATAAGAAGTTCCACTCTGGTGTTCCTCAAATAAATCTGGACGTAGAGATCAAATAAAACCTGTTCTCAGGAAAATATCATCCCTTATTGATGTTTCACTCATTTCATGTTGGCAGTATCATCTGTCCCTTTTGCTATTTTCTAGATCCCCAAAAATCTACATTAAGTTTTGCAACAGCAGCTGGAAATTTCTAGATATTAAGAAATTGATGTCCTTGTAAGGCTGCCAGAGTTGTTGCATCACACATACAATGGCACGAAACTACATGGCACTATCAGTAAAGTTACAAAGACATCCTTTTGCTTATCCTGTCAATACAGACCTGACCTGAAATACTCTTCCTATTTCAGTCCCAGCCTCACAAAAAAAAGCAGATGAATCATGAGTGTCAGCACCATGTCCATTCCAGTCCTACAGGTCTGTCAATGCATGTTGCCCCTGCAATACACTGCTGTTGTGGATAAATACACTTATAATCCACTCTTCATTTTGAAAGCCCTTTTAAGTATTATTTTTTCTTGTGAGCCGCTAAAGATGGTTCATTGCCTTCATACACTGGTTTAAAAATAGATGTAACATAGGGTGGAAAGGACCTCAGGGTGAAATGTCACAGAACTTAGCACTCCGTGCTCAGAATGTATCCTGACACAACTTGTGTCTGTTGCCACTTTTCACTGTGCATCTCCCAATGTCTGGTTCTGTCTTCTCCAAAATCCCCCACTGGGTACTTAAAAAGCAGCAACCAGACCACTCACCAATTATTTTCCTCTTGAACAATCCAGCTCTCTAAACCTCTCTTTTTGTGTAATGTGGTCCCATGCCATTTAGTGGCTCTCCACTGGACTCCAGTTAGTCAGTCTTTTGTACGAGAGGGTTCCAAGCTAGACACAGTCTCCAGATGTGGCCTCACACGTACCGAATAGAGGGGAACAAATCACTTGCCTTTACCCAACGGTTGCATTCTTGTTCCRGCAGTCTGTGTGCAGTTAATAACATGAGTATTTATGTGATGGTAATACAGCTCATTTGAAAAGGCTAAGTGACTGCCACATTGCTGTGTAGATACTGACAGATCTCAGGAATAAGGACAATGATAAAAACAGTATTAAGGCAAAGAGCCCGAGCAACTCACATGAGCCCTCCCGCATTGTGAGAAATAACGTACATCTCTTACTAAAAAAAATAATAAAAATTAAAAACACCTTTACTGGAACATCCTGAAGAAATGTTTGTCTGTCTCTTTATAAAGACCTTTTCTAAAGACAAGTCTGCAATCCCTCTAGGAAACATACTCCGCTATTAGCTATCCATACAACTTTTCCAATAACATCCATTATTTTTTGTCCTATGAACTGCGGGTGTTAGAACAGTTCCCCAAAGTTTTACCAATGAAGGATTACTTCATGAACAGACCAATAGTCTGAGATATGTAATGTTAAWGTGCAATGCACCGCTCAACATTATAGAAACCATTAAAAAGTTCCTTAACAATTTGCCTGTAAAGAGGCTACACTTTACTACACATATCCTACAGATGGTGCCCTTGCTAAAATTTCCAAGAACATGTGGTGATTTTTGTAGAAGTATAATACTAATTCATGTTCAGTCTATGAGCTTGGTTTTATCTTCTCCTGTCATCTTAACCCTGACACTGTCTCACATGTAGGTCTGGGCAGTGTCTCACATATAAAAAATTGTGTCTGCTTCTACTTTTTCCCATTCCAACTTGTTACACTGAACAATAAAATTCTAGGGAATGCTCACAGCATATACTACATTATGCATGTGATGTCACCTTTGGCTTTAACGAGCCAAAAAAGCAGCAATTAAGCAAGGATTTGGAAATTAGAATTTGATCTAACAGTCACTCAGCAGCACATGAAGTGTGCAGCTCTCAGACAGACACTTTTGTATCTGTCCCGGCTAAGTTTAAGTCTATGTCAAAACAGGAGTACTTAATTTTCCAGGAGTACTTAATAAAAGTGAAGAAGTATTTGCAATGATGGCATTAAAGCCAGAGAGCTAAATAGACATTCCTCTTAATTCTTACTTCTGTTGGCGACAGTGAAGTTCCCTTCAAGTAACTCATTCAGATTCTGATGATAGACCTRTAACAACAGCTGTATGTATAGAATAGTGAACGGGGACAAAATCCACTACTGTACTTCCACTCTTCTAGAAGAGTCAAATCCTGTGACTGCTTTCCACAGCAGGCTTACCTTGGCTGGTGTTCTCTCGAGGACTGAGTATAGAAAGGCTTGATCCCATATCCAAAATTTGACAAACACCTTGGCAAAAATTATGCACTCTAGATGAAGAAAGCTGGACCTGCTGGACTTGACTACGACTCTGTCTGAGCAGCTGACTTTGAACAATCTTTGAGGATGTCTCTGCCTTTGTTGCTGAGGATGTATCTGGGCCCTGATTTTCAAGAGAGAAATCTAGCTGAACCTGCTCAAATTCAAAGACAATCTTACAGACATACACACTTTTCACATCAAAGACAATAGAAAATTGGTTAAATTTCATAGTGGCATCTTGGACTTGGAAAAATAAAAGGTTTAAGCCAGAAGCCAGATGAAAGAAAATTATTATTTTTAATTTTGAAAGTTGTACAAGAAGATTCTATTGGAGCTTTATACCTCCGAGCAACAATCTCTTCCTGTCTGAAAGAACGCTGTTTGCTGCCCTCAAAACTGCAACGATAATCAAATGCTCTGACTCAATCCTTGCAGGAACAAATCTGCTGATCAATTAAGTAAAATACATAGTGAAATCCTGATTATTGAAATTACTGGGAGATCTGCCATGAACTATCAGGGAAGCCAGAATTTATTCATTAGTCTCGCGGACAAAAGCTGCAATTTAACTATTAAAGGTTGTATTTTAATTACAAAATATATGAGACGCGTTACCTATATATCCTGCTTTCACATATGGAAAAGGTGCTATTACAGTAATTTGGTCATGGGCGCTTTAAAATCCCACCACTGTGAGTATTTGGAACTATCTTCACTGATTAATCATTTTAAAGTTTAGGTTAGAACACAGGTGCAAATCCTTCAAATGGCCTTTCATGCTTGCTTAAAACTAAACTTTATTAAATTTGTAATTTAGGATTGCATTTATTGTGCATAAACTTGCACTTCTGAAATAACTTGATTGAAGAACATGTTTAAAAATATTACTTATGAAGTCCCGAACCCTTTAAACTTATGGGGAAACATCTGGTTTGTGGCCAAGTCACTAATGGTGCTCCCCAGAGCTCAATTTTAGGGTCAGTTCTCTTCAGTCTTTGATCGATGACCTGGACACAGGAGTTGAGCGTACACTAAGTTTGCTGATGATACTGAATTAGGAGGACTTGTTGATTCCCTTGCGGGTAGAGAGCCCTTACAGAGAGATCCTGATAGACAGGAATGCTTAGCAATCACCAACCACATGAAATTTAACGAGAGCAAAAAAGCAGGATTGGGTACCTGGGACTATAATCATTGATGTCTGTATACACTGAGGGACAAGAGGCTAAAGCACAGCCCTGAAAAAAAGGATCTGGTGGTTTGTACTGTTCGCAAGCTCAGCGTGAGTAAACAGTGTATCCTGGTGGCCAGAAGTGCCAGCCGTGTCCTCAATGCGTTAAGCACAGCACAGCAAACCAGCCAAAAGGAGGGACTGTCCCACCATGCTCAGTATTGCTATGGCCTTACCTCGAGTACTGTGTGCATTTTTGTGGTCCACAATACGAGAAGAACATAGAAATACTGGAATGTATCTAAAGGAGAGCAACATAGATGATGAAAAGACTAGATGGCTAGATTTATGAAGAATGGCTGAGGATACTAGGCTTGTTCAGCTTGTAAAAATGGAGGCTGGAAGATGACCTCATTGCTTTCTACGATTTCCTTCCATGATGGGGAAGCAGAATAGGAGGTGATGATCTCTTGGTTTTGGTGTCTGGTTATAGGATGCGGGGGAATGGGTGAAAGMTGCGTAAGGGGAAGTTCAGGCAATACTCCCCTGAGAGGGTGGTCAAGCAGTGGAACAATCTCCCCACGGAGTGGTCATGGCCCCAAGCCTGTCTGTGTTAAAAAAAGTATTTGGGACAATGTCCTTAAGGTAAACGACTTAACTATTAGGTTGYCCTGTGTGACATCAGGATTCGAAGATCCTCATGGGTTCCTTGCAGCTCCAGATATGYGATGATTCTATGAAATCTTCTGAAGTTAGATTTGAGCTAAACTCACTAATTTAAATGCAGAATTTTAAGGTAAGTTATATTCACGGAATTAGAACTGGCTTAATACCCCATTATCACTAGATTTCAGACAGCATATCATTACCTGTGTTGAGAGTCTGTGCTGTAGATGCTTTAGAACTGATAGCTGACACTGTGTTCTTTTAACAAGTTCCCTTGGTAGAAGACTAACAGAGGCAATACAAACTGTGCAGCTTTTAGTGCTAACAGGATGCCAAAGTCCTGTAAAGGAGAGAATATACTGAGGAAGGCGTTCTTTTTTGTTATTTTGTCATCTGTATTACATTTCCAGCAAGTGTTCACAGCAGATATAAATGAGCCACAGAACACAGACCTTTTCATTGCAAATGGTTTCAATGCTACGCAGAAATAGGCCTCGTGGTTTATACCTTTGCCTCACTGCCAGAAAAATTATGCATGGAATCTAAATACCCACAGTGATATCTTTTTACATTATATATACTCTTAATTCAAGTTTACTCTACAGTAAGCCTATTCTTCTTTCTCTTCCACTTTCCTAGAGTGTTAGTTTTTATTCCAAGAGATACACTACCTCTTTTCTGCTCATAAACAAAGTATTAGTTCAAATTCCAGTTACCACACTGACATCTAGGCACCAGGAAGTGCTTCATCTAAGATGTTCATCAACAGAAGTCACTACATACAGACTCTCACTGTTCTATCTTAGCATTTCCTATCACAGGATAATCTTAGTTGCAAGGATTAGTACCACAGTCTCACACGAGCTGTGCAGATCAAGGATCAGTAAGGTCCAGCACCTAGTTTTCATACTAAAGCCTAGCTCTCTCTAGTTCAAAGGCTGAACTGACTGCCTCATTGTATTCTAAATGCATAAGCTAGTACTTTTCTTTAGAACATATTTACCTTCCTTTAACACCATTCCAAGTTCTGCCCTGAGTCTGTTTCCCATTTCAATCAGCTGCTGCTTTTCCTGGCTCAGAATTGAGATTTTTCTTGTTGCTTCCTTGAGTTTCTTTTGCATTCCTCGTAGAGTGCATTTGACGCTATACCGATGACTGTCACTAGTATCTACATCAGGTAACTGTTGTCCAAAATCTGCCATGTTTTCTTCAAGAACTTTGGGTTCTGGCCCCTGAATAAAACAGATAGTGCTTATAATGAATAATCTGAACATGGACTCTGCAGGTTCAGAGATTTGTACAAGTATGCATGAGAGGTCAGTTGAAGAAAAAGTGTAAAGTTGAAGTCTACAGACCAATTTTTAGGGTCTATTCTCCAGATTTTGTTAGCAGTATAGGGCAAATTAAACTGTGGAGCAAAATACTGTGACAGCCTGAGACATTSCCACAGATATTGTTTATGCTGTTGTATTAAACAGAAAAAATAAAGCTATCGCTATAGCTCTCTTTATTGACTTCACATCCGAATGGCCATGTTTAGTTACCATTGTTACTCAATGGATTCTGAATTCCCTGAGGTAGAAGTATTTTTGCCTGTAATTCTTCATGGCCTGAAGTATATCCCTAGCATGCAGTTAGTAAATGCAAGAAGCACAGAGAAAGTGTACAAGAATGCTAAAGATAAGCTTGTAGATAAAGATAAGATTGCAAAATCCAGTAAGAAATTAAAATGAAGTTTTACCCATTGTTTTCAAGATATTTTCAGGGCTGCTTCCAGCTCAGTTTCTATCTAAGAAGGCTTGTTATATACTGAGAAAGAAAAAATAAAGCAGACAGTAGAAACAGCCAGGAGACAATAGTTCAACTTCAGCAAGGTCAGCATCAGCTTCAATTCCAGCATGTGATTCACTTGAAATTTTGGCCTGCATATCCYCTATTTACTATGTGTCTACACATATGAAGCACAAGTAAATCAGTATTTCACACTGAAGGTGCAACTCACTGCCTGGAGTTGTTTCTATTCTCATATTCACCCATGAGCATTTAATTATAATTTAGCATCATGAAGCAAGGGATTAACCCTCTGGAACAGAGAAAGTCTACTTCTTATCTTACGGTCTCCAAGACAAGTCATTCTCTATTTCATTTTTTTAAGGCTCTATCCTCACTTACAGAAATGCAAAGAAAATCAGAATGAACCTTGGACAATAGTTTGTAAAACATTTTCTGCAATAAAAAAAATAATAGTCGGTGTAAACTTCAGCTTTCACCTAGTTCTGTAAGTGGCCAAAAAAACCAAACCAACTAAATCTGTACTGTCTATAGTGGCACACAATGATTTTCTAAATATAATTCGACAGCACACACAAAGAATTCCCTTCTATATTCCTCAAAGAGATAAAACTAAGATTAAACATCATCTGTGCATGGTGGATCGTGCATGTTTCCACACAAGGTTCCCAAGGCTCCTAAGTTTCATTCAAACATTGACATTGTTTCAGTTTTTAAAGCTCCTACCTTTTCAATCAGGGCCTCTCATGCTCATGCATTACTCAGCAATTATTTAAATTTCCTTGAACTTAGGTGGTTACTGGCGTAATAGTAACATTGAAGCATGAAACAGATATTCGTAGATCTAACAGATGACTTGACAATTAGAAAGCCCTAATTTTTGGAAGTTAATTTTTAAACTATCTTACTTCAGACTCTCTTTACTACACCATGAAATTGCTGGGGTGCAGGAAGAATAGAATATATAGTGACTTCCTTCTTGCATAGTATTAGATATTTGTCACAGTTTTCAATTCCATTATCATTTTTCCCAAGAGATGTCACTGTCACTTTAATGCTGATATTGGTCTTACCCTTTAAAATAACATAGTGGGAATCATTTATGTAAACCCTTGAACTGAGCAAAATACACTCCCACAGCCAGTGGGTTTTTCCTTTGTGGGTGATGAGCACTCCAAGACAGCACTTGAACTGGGTACTTTCTCCTGGCCATACCAAGTTGCACTTGGTTTTTTWAAAAAAAAAAACAACACAAAATACGGATTTACAATGAAAACCCCAAAGTGATGATACACAGTAGCTTAAGCATTTACAAGTGGGAAGAAAAACCACCAAGACTGGCTTGCAAGATCAGAAGCGACTTGTGCCAGGGGATGACTAGTCAAAATTTATTGCCTAAAAGAATAAGTGTAAGTCTGGACGAAAAAAATCTTTGCTGGCTCTCATCTAACCAACCACATAAGCACATATTCTTTCAGTTTATCGTGTTTATTTAAACAAAACGAATACACTATATATTTAATTACATGCACACACACACACACACACACACACACATTCAGATATTTTAAGGTCTTTTAAACCTCATTATACCTTTTCTGTGTCTGGGTTTACTACACAATCCAACTTAGTTGAGCTGACTTTGATGTTGCTCAAAGTAGTTCCAGTTAAAACATTGTTTGTGTTCGATGGACCTGAAAGAGGAGTACAATATGAACGTCTATGTATTTATCGTTTAAGTTTTCATAGCAAGAGCTTCTTAAGAACACTGTTGCATGCATATAAATATCTAGTTACAGAATACAGAACCTCAGAATTATTTAGATTGGAAAAGACCTTTAAAATCATCATGTGAAACCAGTAACCTAACACTGCCAAGTCCACCACACCACATCCTCAAATCCCCAAAGGTACATGTCTTTTAAATACCTCCAGGGATGGTGATTCAACCATATCTCAGGACAGCCTATGCAAATGCTTGAACCAACCTTTCCAAAAGGAAATTTTTCCTGATATCCAATCTAAAACCATTCTGTGATTCTATATACTGGCTTCACTATCCAGAGCGCTGTCATAAGTTGTAACATACATACATTTGCTTTACTCTTGTAAAATATATACATGCTTGCCTTTCTAGTGGTAATTTTGTGGTGACTTGTAGTCTGTGTATGTGTATGCATTTTCTTTTACTAAAGATTGTTTAGTAGTAATTAGTAATATAGAATGTCAGACTACGGTGTGCTTGTATATTGTGCAGTGTTGAGAATCCCACAGTAACAACTTTTAAATACTAATGGACTGGGTAGCCCTCATGGGTTGTGACTGTGACTGCTATACTTCCTTAATTGAACTTAAAGTTCTCTATCAAGAGTTGGCACCTTGCTCTGCAACCTGTCTGTTTTCTGTTAGAGGAAGAGAGGACAACATCTGCTCATCAAGATTCTCCATTTCCTTCCTCATTTGTGCAATAGCAGCCCGAAGGCTGGCATTCTGTTCCTGCAGCTTTTTTATTTCCAAGGCAGGAATATCTTTGCACGGACAGCTTCTATCATCATACCGAAGTATCTGGAAAATATAAGTATAAGACAAAAAGAACCCTTCATTAATAAGCAACACATATTCTCTCTGCACCACCACACACACAGATCCTAATACTTTCAACCTATGAACATACGTGGGAGAAAAGAACCGTGGAAGGAGAAGAAATGTATTTGTTTATTGGGAACTTGCCAAGGAAAAAAGTGCTGTGCTGTGAACATCATAGGAGGAGGCAGAGATGGGGAGGATCGTGGTGACAGAGACGGCTCTGTTTGATAATTGCTGTTCCGCAGGTGTGATGTACCTATGTCTTCCCCATGCAGGTAACCCTTCTCCTTAAGGAACTTGCGGTCTCAACAGCAGTTCCCCTTCTGACCTGTCAAATTCTTGAAAGTGTCGTTGGGAGATCATCTGTTAGCAATCACACTATCCTGGCTTAAAAGACTGATATTTGCCAAGGAAAGCAGGAATCTCCCTGGAATGATCACCGCCACCCTTCAAATTCTTATGACATTGAAATTACAGGGTTTACAGGCAAATATATGGAAAAAAGAATATCAGTTCTTTACTAGACGACATCTATATAGCAACACAAAACAAACACCAACAGCAACAACAAGAAAAAGAAAACCCAGTAACGGCCTTTTCCCGCCCATTGACTGATATCCCCTTCGGTGTAGTTACGAGCACAAACGGCAGGGGACGCTGCTGGCTCGTGCCAGGCGCAGGGGCAGCGGCGACTCCTCCGCGGTTTCCGGGGACGCTGCGATGCGRGACCGGGACCGGCCTGATGGTGACGGCGGCTCAGATGAGGGAGAGAGAAGAAGGGTTGACTCCCCCGAGCACCCACGCAAGCGGTAATCGGTCTTCGGCACCGCTAACGGCAGCCGATACGCGCTAGGAACACAACTTGCTCCATGGCAAGTTTTTCCTAGCAGTCTACTTTTATCCATAATAAAAAATGTCTTCGGGAAGTATCTTTCTGAATACAAAGCTGTCTGCATTCAGGAACTACTAGGCTTGCTAAGCTCTGCTTTTTCTTAGCAAGCTCTGGTAGCATGCTCTGAACTGGTCCCTGTTGAGCGCCTGTAGCTGCCCAGTAGAGTGCACTGCAGCATACTCTTCCACGCTTTTACCAAAAACAGTTTTCTACTCCTATTGCGTTATCCTCCAGCATGATTCAAACCAGCATTACTTTTGCAATTTTGAATGGCTTTTAAAAACATATGCATTTTAATAGGCGGCAGCAATGAAAGGAAAACTAGTTAGTGATACTAAGATACAAAACGGGATTTTAAACAGCTGGCACATTAGTATTACAAAATGTTGCCTTCAAGTGTTAACTTTACAACTTTAAAATCTACCCTGAACTGCAACTGACACAGAGCCTCAGGAACATTCCAGAATTAATTTTTCCCATTTGATGTGCCATGACGGTACAGTATGTTGTCATGTTTTGGAACAACTGTCTATATCCAGTGAGTAAAAAATGAGAGCCATAATTAAGACTGTGACACCTAATCTATATGTATTTCAGGCTAGATATGTCTGTATTTTGAATGAAACATATGAAACAGATTAGCAACTGACAGTAAATCCAGTGGAAACAAGACCCATATAGTTGTTACCTTAGAATGAATTCACCCATGTCTACATTAAGTGTTGTCTAACCTGTTTCTTCCCTTCAGGTGAAATACTGTGATCCAGCGATGTTCGTATCATCTGTTCTCTCTCAACAGTGAAAGCAGAAAGAACAGCCTTCACTTCATGCAAGCTATAGTCTGTTTCCTGTAGATCATCAGCCTAGGAGGAAGGGAAGGGAGGGGAAGCAGAGGATGTCATTAGCTGAAGAACAAAGGGATGGAGAAAAGGAAAGGTAAAGTAAGGAAGGGAAAGGAAAATTATACAGCACAGGGACTTAAGCACATCCCTTTTGACTCTATCAAAAACTGCCTTCACAGACATTATTTAGAAATAATTTAGCTTCATTGTCTTATCTTCTTTATGTGAAATGGAGAAAGTTGATTTACCTCTCAAGTGCATTCACATGCTACAGTTATTGATACTTATGAATCATTTTCGAAATACAATGATAAAACAAACTAAAACACTAGAGTAAATGTCATCAGCTTTAATTCTAAACTTCACAAATGAGTGTTTCCTCTGTACCTGTGAGTTCACAGGGCAACTGGGCATTGGGAATTGGTAGACCATTGTGTAACAGTCTCTAAACAAGAAACATTTATTTAATTTTTCAGAAGAAGTTTCTACATAAAATAGTGGGGTTTTTTTTCCATACAAAAGGACCCAAGAGCTTTTCAGGGCTGATATTGTTCCCTTGATAGAACTCAAGTGGTACTGTCAGCTTAAAACCTTTCTGGCCTGGGGCTACCCTCCGAGAGATCTTTCTTATTTTGCTACAATGGCAAAGGGAAAGCATCTCTTAAGCCCAGCTGATTTCATGGAAAGGGAGAAAAGGCCACTATTAGAGATTGTTCATGAAATTTAATTTGGTCTCTGATGAGATGAACTACTGTGCACAATACAGAATTACTCTTTTACAGTTTTTTGAAAGAAGGCTAAAGACATATTTCCCTGAGAAACACCATGGTGGAAAAACTCCGTAGCCCTCTATGCAATAGATGGTTTTTAAACAGTGTTAATTTGAAATTCTCACCTCCCTTTTTTGATGAAGGACTGTGTGTTAGATGCTCTGATTTCTGATACCAGTTACATTCAGCATTCTCATTGAACTGCAGCCAGTTCAGTTCTGTTTGCATTTTACTTTGTTTCAGAATCCATTCTTGCTCAGCCGCCAGAGACAGTTGTTGTTTGTACCTATGATACACAGAGCAAAGCTGTTGATTTCAGCAGAATAAATACTAAGTTTTTATCCAGTGCAGCCTAGAAAAAGAGGCAATGGCTGGATTAAAGACACTCGAACTCCTCCTTCCATTCCCAAAGGATATGCTCCATGTAAAATTCCCGAACTGGCTTTAAATGAATTTTTATATATGCCACATTAACGTCAATCATTCAGTAGCCCTTTACGAATTCCAGAGGCTTGTCCAGATCACTTGCAATAACTAAAAGAAGTTATTTAAAATTTACCCAGCCACCTCTACAGTATAAATGTAGTTTGACCTAGAGCAGTTTCCAGCACTTTACAGCAGTTACCATTTTAAGCAGAGAATAATCCCAAAGAAACTTTGTAACAGTAGTTACATAAAACAAGAATTGATGTGCAGACAGAAGAAACAAGTATTTATTCCCTCCACCCTGCAAACTGCAAACGTATTTTTCTTTTCTTCAAGACCTTTATGAAGAGTCAAATCACAGTTCAGCCTTCTATCCAGTGTGTCCCATTTGTCTGCTCCTAGTTTAAAAAGAAATTTAAAAACCCAGAACCTATGCTTTTACCGGCAAAACTCTTTACTTTCTTCATATCCATATCTTCCTATTGTTTATTCTCCCTATTTGCCTCCTATCTAATTAAAAATCTTGTAAAACAAAAAAAAAAACGAACA